TTTTTTTTTTTTTTTTTTGGGTCAAACGTCAAATATATTAATAATTGAAAACTCAAAAGAGTATACCCAAAGTGTTAAATCACACTACTAGAACCAGAACAATTTGGACCAACCCCCCTTGGAATTACACATATTACCAAGGAGGTACAAGCACCCGCTAAACAAAAACTTCATAAAGGAGACACAATAACTCCATATAGGAGACTAAAAACTAGACGAAATTGGACTAACAAAACAACAACAAACAAAAAAATAAGAAACACAACACACACACCTAAAAAACACTTATAATAAGACCTCCTCTACACCTAGCACGCAGAACATACAGCCGCCTGAACCAGCGCACGAGCCAAACTCTACCACACAGAAGCCTAAGAGAGGAGCAGACCGAAATCCCAGACCCAAAAACTGCGATGAAACTCAGGTTTTTCACGATCCAATTGTACAAGTGTGTAATTTATGTGCAAAAAACAACCTGGAAGCCAAATAAATCTAACATGACTCCCTCCCACGCTCCCGCTTAGCAGAAATTGGCCTTAATTTGGAAAAACTTGATGTACCTCTTAAATTTTCTTTTTCATCCAAAATATAACAATCACAATTTCAAAGTGTTTGAAAATGTTCCTCTTAATGTAATGAGATCACATATCGATGGTCTTCAGATGATCTCGGTGCATCTCAGTCGTCGTCTACTGTTCTACATTATCATACTCAGAATGCTACAAATATCTCACAATGATACGTTTCATGAGCGCACCAAACATATTAAGATCGGTTATCACTTCATTCGACATCATGTTGCGCATAGGACTGTACAAATTATTTCGATTCCACTACGGATCAAAAAGTATATGTCTTCACGAAGTCTCTCATTTGCAGTTGCTTTTAGTTGTTTCTTAGCAAATTGAAGTTCATGATATCCACTTTACCACATTGATTTTGAAGGGGTGTGTTAGTTATAATATTCTAGAGTAGTATTGTTGTGTTATATGCTAGGTTACCACTTGCCACAATTATGTTAAGGCTCATCTTACATCTTTATATAAGTGTACATATTGTCATTGTAAAATAGACACCATAATTTTCACACAATTGTCACAAAAAATTTGGAATATGAGGAAAACTTATGTTTGACACTTTGATTAGCAACCAACCACTCTTATTATTAATTATCAGATCAATTTCTATTACCATTTATATAGCAAGGTATTTGATGATATCCAAATGAACCTTAAAAAAATAGATAACTGGAGGGTTCATTAAAAAGATATCCAAATGAACCTTAAAAAAATAGATAACTGCAGGGTTCATTAAAAATGGAGATTCTACGGTCCGTTACGGAATTATTCCGTTGGACTTTGTAACCGTTAGATCAACTATTTACGACGGTTACATGATGATCTAACGGTTACAAATTCCAACAGAATGATTCCGTAACGGAACTGTAGCATTTCCACATTAAAAATATATGATATTCTTTTGACTGCATGAAAAAAAAAATGATTTTGTAATGTAGGAGTCAGGCGGGTAGTCACAGTGAAAACGCAAAGGTTCCTTTACGGGACGGTACCGTCAACATTTTTCACAATTGAATAAAAAAGTAAGTAATGTTTTGTGGATATTCTACGATAACAAACCGTGACGGAACCATTCCGTCAAAGGACTTTATCCGTTCCCAACAAACCAATTATCTTTAGTAGTATAATCCCATCCGCAAAACAAAACAACAAGCTAGGCGCAGCTCAAACCAAACATAACTGAAAATGAAGTTGAAATTAGCAACAACTCATATATAAATAAATAAACTGGCTGGCACATAAATAGTTAAATAACATTTTTATTTTAAAAGTGCATGGAGCTTATTGATCATCAGCCACTCATATGCGCAACACACACAACCCTGTGGAAAGGGCCGGAGAAGGGCACTAGGAGGGACCCACACGTGATGTTCTGCTGCCTGTGAATGAGCTTGAGCAGCCCGAGATCCAACCTCAGCTTCGTCGTAATTTCCAGCGTCAAATTCAAGTAGCCCGAATTTGTGAGTTCCGTGTGGTTTTTGAGATTGAGATTGAAGTTGAGATTGAGAAGGGTGACGTTCCTGCGCGGCTGGTGGAATGGGGGGATTACTTGGTCGGCAGAGACCAGCAAGCGGTCCGCGTACTTGACCTTTGCATCTATGCGGTCGTAGTGGAACGAGAATCCGAGCCTGTGGGGGTTGTTGGCTCGGACTGTGAAGCTGAGGTTCGTGGTGGGGAGGCGGACGGCTCTGGCTCGGTCGACAGAGTATTGGATGTCTTTAGGGAGGAGAAGGACGCACGCCGCCATCGCTATGAGGGACGCCAACAGGATGCAAACAAAGGAGACCGCCGCAATGAATTTCCACTGCTGGGGCCACCGGTCCTCGACCACCGCCTTCTTCGGATTATTCATTTTTCTATGTGTTTTTTTGCTGCTTGAATGTTTTTGATGATTATTAACAATATAGTGAATAAATGTTGGTGAATTCTGTAGCATGACTTTTCCTGTTGCATCTCTTCCTTTTTAGCTTTTCTTGCATCCAACTCAAGAAATCTAAGACGGTGTGTTTCACGGCTTGTGTTTACTTTTTT